TGTTAACTTATGACCTCCCAGACGCTAAGTCGCGCTTGCTGTGGGAACACAGTCCGTCAGGCCCCTCCGCTTTTTGCAAGCCAGACTCGGGGGCTCTGCTTGGCCGGCGAGCCGCCCCTCCGCCCCGGCTCCCTCCCACCAGTCCGTGGAGCGCGCACCGCCTCGCCGCCCTTCCTACCCTCTTCCGTGGGCCTCTCGTCTGCGCTTGGCTCCGGCGACTCCGTTCTGCTAATCCTCTGGTGGTTTTCTGGGTTATTTAGGCAGGTGTAGGTGGAATCTAAGTGATCAGCAGGACGCGCGGTGAGCCCAGCGTCCTCCTACGCCGCCATCTTCCAAAGCTCTCTCCCTGTTTTTTAATAGCGATGATTCCTTCTACCTCTCCTCAGCTTTGGGTGTGTTCTCTAGATAGTCTATGATACATTTAAATGTAATCCCCTAAAACTAATTCTGTAGTTATGTTACATGTTCTCACATGAGGGCCATCCAGTTTTTAGAACCCGCCAAAAATCATCTAGGATAATTCTATTTAAGGTGGTCAGAAACAGTGCATAGTTATAATGTTATTAATTTTATTTTGTTACTCTAAACTGATTCTAAAGAGGAATTTAAATGTATAAAACTGTATCTGGCAATGGACTATCACTGGGAAAATATTTCCGAGTAATTCTTCGCATTTATGAGCATATAATATTTTTGTTGTTAGTTAATGTTCATTTTCATAGTATATAGTGTGATACTTAGTACTTTGAGGTAGTGTTTACCATACTTAAAAGAGTCATAAATATCTGATGAGGTTTTAATATCTAAAATACATATAGAACTTCTATAACTCACCACCAAAAAAATAAACAATTTGATGAAAAAATACACGGAGGATCTGAAGAGACATTTTCCTATTACATACAGATGATGTACAGATACCCAGCAGGTGCATGTAAAGAAACTCACATCAGTAATCATCAGGGAAATGCAAGTCAAAACAATGGATATCACCTCATACCAGTTAGAATGGCTAAAAGCAAAATGACAAGAAATAACAAGTGTTGATGAGGATGTGGAGAAAAAGGAACTCTTGTGCGCTGTTGGAGGGAATGCTGACTGGTGCAGCCACTGTGGAAAACAGTATGGGGGTTACCCCCAAAATTAAAAATAGAAATACAGTACGATCCAATAATGCCACTGCTGGGTATTTACCCAAAGAAAAGGAAAACGCTAACTCGAAAAGATAAATGCACCCCTCTGCAGCATTATTTACAATAGCCAAGATATGGAAACAACCCAAGTGTCCATCAGTAGACAAATGAATAAGGAAAATGTGGTGTATATATATACACAAAAGAACATTACATACCCACATAAAGAATGAGATCTTATTAGTGACAACATGGATGGACCTAGAGGGTTATTATGCTAAGTGAAATAAGTTAGACTGAGAAAAACAAATACCATTTAATTCCACTCATAAGTGGAATCTGAAGGAAACAAACAAAAACCCACAAATAAACAAAAAGAATCAGACCTTTAAATACAGAAAACAAACCAGTTGCCAGAGGAGAGAAGGTGGGGGGATAGGCAAAATGGTGAAGGAGAGTAGGAGATACAGGCTTCTAGTTATGGAATGAATAAGTCACTGGAATAAAAGGCACAGCGTTAGAAATATAGTCTGCGATACTGTAATATTGTGATATGGTGTGGTGACAAGTGGTAGCTACATTTGTGGTGAGCACAGCATAACACAGAGAGGTTGAATCACTATGTTGTACACCAGAAACTAATGTAACATTGTATTTCGACTGTACTCAAAAAATTTTAAAGCAGAGTCATCATAGAATTAGAAACAATTTTCTTTCATCTCGTAAAGAAGAATAGTCTTAAACCGTATCTGTTGGTTTGTTTTTAGCAAATTAAAATAGTGCCAGCAAAGAATCTGCTAAAGAACTCATATGGGAGATCACATTTCTTTTATTTTTTTTTTAACGTTTATTTGTTTTTGAGAGACAGAGAGCAAGAGAGAGAGAGCACGAGCAGGGCAGGGGCAGAGAGAGAGGGAGACACACAATCTGAAGCAGGCTCCAGGCTCTGAGCTGTCAGCACAGAGCTCGATGTGGAGCTCAAACCCATGAACCGCGACATGGTGATCTGGGCCGAAGTCGGATGCTTAACCACCTGAGCCACCCAGGTGCCCCTGGAGGTCACATTTCATAACAAATATATTTTCAGTAAACCTCTGTAAGGTAATATTTACTTGCCCCTATTGAGAATACATTTATAGTAAAACGCAATTTTATTTTTAATTTTTAATGTTTATTTTTGAGAGAGAGAGAGACAGAATGTGAGCTGGGAAGGGGCAGAGAGAGGGAGACACAGAATCTGAAGCAGGCTCCAGGCCCTGAGCTGTCAGCACAGAGCTCAATGCAGGGCTCAAACTCACAAGCCGCGAGATCATGACCTGAGCTGAAGTAGGACGCTTAACCTACTGAGCCACCCAGGTGCCCCAATAGTAAAATACAATTCTTTTAAAATCAGAGTACATATGAATTTTCTTGGAGTTCTTGGAGAGACCCACCCTTCCTAGAATAGAGAAAAGGAATCACTTTTCAACTTGCATAATAACTTGTTTGCCGAGAAGGGGAGAAGCAGAAGTTGTATTTGTCAGTACATAAATGAAGTGTTAGGAACAGTATTTTCTGACTATATAACATATGTTTTGATTATGTAAAAATTTTAAAATATGAAAAATGAGAAAAACACAGCCTCAGCACCACCATTGTGACCTTTTGGCACATTTTTTCTTGGTAATTCTGTGCACTTTTTACTTTGAAAACCATCATGATCTGTATATTATTTGTGTCTTATATTTGCAATTATCCTGTCATAAGTGATTCGTAAACATTTTAATGCTTGCACAGTATCCCATTGTGTGGCTGTACCATCATTTACTTCTTCTGATGTTAAATGTTGCAGATGGTATTGAGTTTTTCACTATAAGCTATCACATAGTGAACACCTCTGAATCAGTCTATCTAAACTGTAAGTTCTGCCCATCCCTCTTTTCTTAGAAGTGGCTTCCCCAGTCCCATATTGTTGTACCTATAGGTGAAATAATGAATGGCCCATAGCTATAGGAAGCAGCATTCCAAATCAAAGATGCCTTTAAAAAAAAGAGTGTCTCTTATCTGGAAATGTTGGAATTATTTTTTGTTGTAGCTTAGAGGGAGCTAATCTTAGAGGGTGCCCTGCCCTGTGTAACATTTGAAAATCATGTTTCATCACAGGTGATTTTTTGCCCACAAATAACATACTATATCATAGCCAAACTATAACTGTTCCCTGCTGGGTATTTTTAATATGCAAAGCACTTTGTCAGCCTCTCATCAACTCCTTGCTATAGTCATGTGAGCTATGTAGGACTCTCTGCACTGTATAGAGGAAACTCGGGCTCAGAAAGCTAATATAACTTTCTAAAGGTGAAAATTCTATTAAGTGAGAGTCCTAGAATTTGGATCCAGGTCTTTCTGACTCTAAGTATAAACTTGTAACCATTTAACTTAGCTAAACTTAAGTTTTAGATTTAGATTTAGATATGATTTGTATGCCCTGTCTGGTTTTTACCACCCCCCACCCATACTTATATATCCACATTAATTTTCAGGATATCAGAACCTGAGGATATTATTCTCATACCCAGAGAGGATTTTAGATTTATCATAGTCATTATTCAAATGTTTGTTCATACTGATAAGTGGAATTATTCAGATATTTAGAATTGGTTACTTTGTATACTCTGGTTTCTCTTCAGATCGCATAGAATTGGTTACTTTGCTTACAGGCTACTATTTGTATTGGATAAAGCTAGTCTTTGAACTTACCATGGATCATGGCTGTCCTGGTAAAAGTTTTCTCTGATGCAAGATACAGTAATATTATATAGGCACTGCAGCTTTGATTAATCTTCTTGAGAGGTTTATGTATGTAAAGGAGTATAAACAGCAACATAAAACTGTTCTTTAAAAAAAAAAAAAACCTGTTAAATACATGATTATGCTAAGCAATACACATGACCCTTCTAAAGAAAGGAATTAGCACATCACCGAAATGTTGAGTCTTTAAGTTTTGAAGCTTCCAGCAACTATTCGGAGTACATAATAATGTGCCCTTGCGCCAAGTTCTGGTGCTGTCAGCTTTGTGGTCAGAGTCCTGTTGATAAAGCTTACTCAGAGGTAAGGGCATCTTCTTAAATCTTCGTAAAGTCTACTCTGACTCATATTTTTATTTTTATGTTTTTATTTTCAGTTATTTGTTCCATAGTGGCAATCAAGAACATCCAGGAGATATTCTCCTAAACACAACTGTGGAAGTTTTGCCTCTTAAGGTATGCCTATTTCCCCCCTGATTTTTCTTAAGAACTAAGATCAGTAGTAGACTTATCTTGAGGTTATTCTTGATTAGAAGATGAGGGAAAATTTTCATGATTGTAGGACCTCAGTGGCAAGCAACATTAATGTATTGTCCTTTTTGCCTTATTCATAGAAAGAGCCTTCATTTTGTTTCCTGTTGGAAAATAACTTGGACGTTCCTACCAGGAAAATAAATGAATCATCATTTTACTCTAATGTTTATATTTTGAGTCCCAAAATACCATGTGGTTTTAATGCCTGTTGATTAATACATAAAATTAATTTATTGGTCTTTAAGGAGTGCTTAGATTTCTTTCGAGTTAACACAGTTCCATGTATTTTTAATAAAAAATAGTGCCCTATTAAATTGGTTTAAATTTAAAATTTAAATTTTTTAGCCACTAGTATATACAAATTCAGATAGTTAAAAGAATACTTGTATTGTTAGGCTTTTTAAAGTTCAAGACTCATGACATTTTCCCTTTTTTAAAGATAACTGTGCCACAAATGCCACTTTTCTATTAAGCTAAATTAGCTCTGTTTTAAATAGAAGTAATCATTTGTAAAATTAATGTTTTTGTTCTGTTTTAGAGTGAAGGTTTGGAAATAAGCAAAGAAACCAAAGACAAACGATTAGAAGATGGTTATTTCAGAATAGGTAATACCTCCTACTTTAAACTGGTAAATTGTTTTTGACTTGTCTGGACTTAATCCTAAAGTAATTTTAAACTCTTGTCAGATGTTAAGCAGCTTTAGGGTTACAATTACCAACGTCCTCCAAGTTGTATTCTCATGTTTTAGTACATACTTTTATTATCTTGACCCACCCAGAGTTTCCGATCAAAGGTTCATTTGCTGGTTCCTCTTTCTTTCTCCACCCGCTATTTCATTGTTGATTCTCACTGATAATCTGTCTTCTGCTGCCTTCTGCTGCCTTCCACAGTCTCTTACTGGGTGACCTTCGCCATTTACAGGGTCTCAACAACATCCACGTGCCAGAATCTATGCCTTTAGCCTCTTGCTTCCCTCCTGAACATTAGGTCTGTATTGAGATGCTTTTGGACCTGGCCACCTGGAGGTCATACAGGTGTCTACTCTGAGCATCTGTAATGTGGTCATTTCTTTTAGTCAGAAAGAACCAGGGAAAGAGAGCTAATAAGAGCCTTGCTGGGTGGGAACAATCCACAAAGACTGGCCCTACATAGGGGCCTGGATTTAATTGGATCAGAGTGTACAGCAATTTATACTTGAAGGCGTTGTTGAAAACTAAACAGTCAGCTGACAGTGGAAACCTGATGGCTGAGGGTGGGGTAGGGTGGATGGTATGGCATCATGCTAAGGGCAGTCTTGTGAAAGAAACCCAAGTTGTGAGGAGAAGAGCCTTTTTAGAGAAACACTGGAAGGAAGGAATGGACCACAGTCAGGGTGCAGCAGGAGTATGGCCACAGGGAGCCTGACCTTGGAAGTCCTGCCCAGTGCCAGAGTTTGGGAATTCTAGGCAGTCTTCAGTAATTTCCTCCTTCATTTTCCCCTTTGTTTATTTCTTTTAATGGTGACCTATCAGACCACCGGGTTAAGGGCAAAAGTTAAATTTGTTGTCTGGAAAGATAATACACGCACATGTTTTAAAAAGCATAAACTTAAGTCTCCCTCCCTCTTCTTTTCCCTCCTACCCAGTACTTCCCAGAGGCAATTCTTATGATCTGTGTCCTTCCAGAAGTATTCTGTTCATAAATAAAAGTAGGAATATTTTCTTCAGAAACACACAGTAGCACACAAATAACATACATACTCTATGATCTTTGTTCGGCATCTTTTCACTGACTGAAGTACATATGTACATATGGAAGATGAACATTCTAAAAAGTTGTACTATTTCAGGTGCACAGAAGATACAAATAGTAATTGAGTGAATATCTGTGTATCTGGTTTAAGATTTGCCAATTCAGTTGTTCTTCCCTAACGTCTTTTCCCTTTCCACCAAGGGTAACTACTGTCATAAATTTGGTGGTTACCATTTGCATGTACATTTCTAGCACATATGTAGGATATATTCCTGAACAATGCACAGCGTTATTTTGCTTGTTCTTAAATCTGAGATAAATGATATCATTCTGTAGCCTGCAGTTTTCTCTCACCATCATGAGATTCATCCATGTGGGTGCGTGTATCTACGGCTCATTCATTTTCACTGCTGTGCAAATTTTCATGGATGAATATATCACTGTTCTCTTGTTTGGTTATAATGTTTGTTTCCATTTTCTTTCTTTTTTCTTTCTTTTGCTGTTATAAACAATGCTGGTTTGAACTCTTCTGCACATGTAGGGAGTTTCTCTACATTGGGAATGCAAGTAGGTCTTTAGCTGCATTATCTTCAGTTTTACTTTATTCTTTGTATTCTTTCTTCACTCTTTTAATTGGCTGCCTAGTATTCCCTTGTATTAGCATATCTTAATTGATATGGCCAGTCACCTAGCGACGAATAGTTGTTTGCAGTTTTTGCTGTGATACATATATTCTTTTTGGACATGCGAGAGTATATCTGCAGGATAAAATTGCGGGGTCAAAGTGTTTGAATGAGACCAGTTATATCGTTAGGTAATTATTTTTCTAATTAACTGAGCTCATCAGATGACAGTATGATGTCTCATTAAGTGTTGTGAGTTTCAAAGTATTTTTCAGCCCTAAACCCCCTGCCTAACTTAATAATTCAATAATACTTTCTTGTAGCATTGCTCCTTACCCCAGTCCAGCCCCAATATGTGTACATACTTTTATGAAATAGTGTATTAATAATTTTTTAATAAACACATTACTTTGTAAGTTGATACATTTAATATTTCTTGTACATATGAATGCATGTCTTCTCTAGTATGGTTTTCACTTTAAACGTATCTTATCTTACTAAGAGCCTAATCATTATGTCGTAAAACTCTAGAATAGACTGCTGAATAATGAGTAAATGATAGCCCATGGGCCACATCAGGCCCACTTCCTGTTTTCCCCCCCACTTCCTGTTTTTGAATGGACCATGAGCTTAGAATGATTAACATTTTTTTATTTTTATTTTTAAATGGTTTGAAAAAATGAATTATATATTGTGGCATGTAAAACTTATAAAAATTTAAATTTCAGTGTCCATAAATAAAATTTTATTGGAACACATCCATGCTTATTTACATATGGTCTGTGTGCTTTCTTTAAAAATATTTTTAATGTTTATTTATTTTGAGAGAGAGAGAGAGAGAGAGAGAGACAGCACAAGCAGGGGAGGGGCAGAGAGTGAGGAGAGACAGATTCTCAAGCAGGCTCCACGATGTCAGCACAGAGCCTGACACACGGGGCTCAGTCTCACAATGGTGAGAACATGACCTGAGCCAAAATCAGCAATCAGATGCTTAACTAACTGAGCCACTCAGGCGCCCCTGTCTATGTGCTTTTGTGCTGCAACAGCAGAGGTGAGCAAGTAGTTCCAATAGTGATTGAGGTGGTGCACTGATTGCTTCCACCTGACGCTCAGTGCACTAAAATAGCAGTGATACATTCATAATTTGACAGTTTCTCTGTCAAATTTAATGTTTATTTTTGAGAGAGTGAGTGTGAGCCAGGGAAGGGGCAGAGAGAGAGACACAGAATCCAAAGCAGGCTCCAGGCTCTGAGCTATCAGCACAGAGCCCGATGTGGGTCTCAAATTCATGAACCATGAGACCATGACCTGAGCCAAAGTTGGATGCTTAACTGACTGAGCCACCCAGGCGCCCCATAATTTGACAGTTTCAAGTGCCCCACGCACCCACACACCACCATAGTGTGACATTTTTTAAAAAATGACCAGTACTTATCCATCATGTCAAAACAATAAAAGTGGACTTTGAATGTCAGTGCTTTTTAACAGTGTGAAATGTAATTATTTCACAAAATCAGTTGACACATTGTTGTGGTTATTAGGCAGTGATGCAATAGCTGTGCTAGAGAATACATTACTGTTCTAAGCACTCATAATATTCCCAACTCACAGGAATACAATGTTCAGAAAATTAGAATATTTTATTACAGCATAATTTCTTCACAAAAATAAAAAATTCAGATGAGGATATAACCAAAGTGAGTTTCAGAATGGTTTGTGTGTTAGCCAAGTAAAATCAGTTACCAATAGTGAGTTAAATCCTATTTAATTGAAGTAGTCAAAGATACGTGTGTAGATCAGTTAACCTTATTTAAGACCATCGAGGGGCACCTGGGTGGCTCAGTTGGTTAAGCATCTGACTTTAGCTCAGGTCATGATCTCATGGTTTGTGGGTTCGAGCCCCGTGTCAGGCTCTGCGCTGACAGCTCAGAGCCTGGAGCCTGCCTCAGATTCTGTGTCTCCCTGTCTCTCTGCTCCTCCCCGGCTCACTCCCTCTCTCTCTCCCTCTCTCTCTCTCAAAAATAAATAAACGTTAAAAAAAATTTTTTTAAGACCATCGAGCTTTCGGCAACAATTGAGTGAAGAATTGAAGACATTGGGAATGGTATTAGTCAAAAAACAAAGCATATTATTTCCTTGGGTCTTGATGAGTTGATAGATATTAACTGGTACTGCCCAGTTGTTATTTGGAGTCAATGCCAAACTTGAAGTGACTAAAGAATTGGCCTCTGAAAAGTCTGCATGGCACCAAGTATAGGCAAGGATATTTTCAAACAAGCTGAGAAAACACAAATTGAGTACAACCTGAAGTGGAATCTGCCAGGATGTGTTATAATGAACAGTGGTAAAAATATGTATGGAAAAGAAAGCTTAGTTGGGTAAATTTACGAAGCCTGTGAAAATGTAGGGTGTTTAAAGCCTATGGTTATTTATTTTACTATTCATCAGGTATTTTACAGGAAATAATTGAATTTGCCACATATCATTTTTTTAAAGTTTATTTATTTTGAGAGAGAGAGCAGGGGAGGGACGGGGGTGGGGGGGGAGAATTCCAAGCAGGCTCCATGCCGTCAGTGCAGAGCCCAGCCCAGGGTTCAAACCCATGAACCATGGGATCATGACTTGAATTGACACCAAGAGCCAGATGCTTAACCGACTGAGCCACCCAGGTGTGCCTGTATCATTATTTTATTGAACCAGCAGCATTAGCAGTGAACACCATTCACTCTCTTGGACTTTACCATAATCAGTTCTGTGAACTTGTGTCAGAAATAGGAACTGAATAGCATGACTTGTTGTACCATATAGCAGTTCTGGGGCTTAGCACTGATCACATTTATTGTGAAAAAAGAAACCTTTTTTTTTTTTAACCTCAACAACAAGATTGAAATTTTTCCCAGTGGCAAGAACTGCCCTCAACCACTATTCTCTCTTTGAAAATTAGTGTTTCCTGCAGGCTTGATAACGTTTCTTAATTCAACCTAAAATTATAAGACCAAATAGTACTCACATGCAAAAAACCCTATGTTTCAGTCAAATCACTGATGACAGTTGTTATTTGAACTATAAGTAATATCAAACTAATCAAGGAGCTTCCACCTAACTTTTGCTTGGAAGTGACTCATCTGCAGTGTAGTGACACATACAAGGCAAATATCAAGGAGAAGAACCTAATGGAATTCCATAAATACCTTCCAAGTGATGAATACGCTCCATTAAAATCACGTACTTATGGACTGGTGTCAGTATTTCGCAGTATGTAGGCTGTGTGAAAGGAAATATCCAAGATAAAATACATAAAATCTCATTATAGACCCACTTTAACAGATGAACATTTGCAGTCAATTTTGATGAGGATCACTTTGAATCCCAGATAACTAAAATGTTAACCCTTGCAAAAGGAATTATGATCTCCTTAGTACACCTGCATTAGCAAAAGACGAACTCAGTGGTAGTTCTTATAATATGAATTTCATCAATAAAAACTTTGTGGAACTTTTTCTCTATATAAGTACCAACCTAATATCTTCAGTTTTCCTCCTGGCCCACAAAGCCCCAAATATTTACTATCTGCCCTTTATTATTTTTCCCCCTAATGTTTGTTTATTTTGAGAGAGAGTTGTGTGCACAAGCCAGAGAGGAGGGACAGAGAGAGTGAGAGAGAATCCCAAGCAGGCTCCATGCTGTCAGCACAGAGCCTGGCACGGGGCTCGATCCCACAAATTGTGAGATCATGACCTGAGCTGAAATCAAGAATCAGATGCTTAACCAACTGAGCCATCCAGGTGCCCCTGTCTGCCCTTTATAATAAGAAAAGGGTTGCCAGTTCCTGGCTTAGAGAAATGTGGCCAAGAACACACCATTTTTCTGTCACTTTTTCAACAGCTTTTTGTTGTTGTTTGAAGAATATTCCTCATAGCAAGAAAAAGTAGGTAAAGAGCATGTTAACCTTTTTATAGAACTTCTTGGTCCTATCCCTAAAGAGAGCTTTTTTAGCTTGTCATTTATAATGGATTTTTCTATTAAAACTGCCTAGAGGAGGTATCACTTGTTAATTCCTTCTAAGTGTGACCTTGGAAAGAATACACAAAGATTGAACCCCTGCTCTAAGTCCACCTATTGTATGTATGTCTTAAAAGCATTGAAATTTGTTGCTCTAACGTAACCCTCAGAGGGGTCAGACTGAGTGATGGTATAGGGTATACTTCCTTACTCATAGGGTGAGGTTTGGTGAAGTCACATTTTGTTAAAAACCTGCATGTTAAAACATTTTTGATGCAAGAACAAATAAATATATACCTTCTAATTTGCAATAGGAAAAAAGCAGAGCTCTGCCTGTTTTAATAGGTTGCTTCCAATGAAAGCTTACACTACTTCATGAAAAATTTGAAAGTTGAATAAAAGTAGAAAGAAGGGGAAAAAATTCACCCAGGCCCTGTGTAAAGACATCCACTGAAAATATTTTGTTTTTCTTTCCTGCTTTAAGTCAGTGATGTCCTATGTGTGCTTGTTTCAGTCGACCCAACATATGTTGATTTTTATTTTGAAGGAAAATTTGAGAATGGTGTTGCTGAAGGAATGGTGGATCCCAGTCTAAACCCCATTTCAGCCTTTCGACTTTCAGTCATTCAGAATTCTGCTGTTTGGGCCATTCTTAACGAGGTAAGACAATATGATAAATCAGTGAAACAGATTGTACTTTCTTTTTTACCACATTTTGATTTCATGTATAAGGCCTTTATTGTATTTCTCATTATTTTGTATTTCAGATTCATATTAAAAAAGTCACCAACTGATCATCCCGCTAAGAAACCAGTTCATTTTTTTCCTGTGAATTTGTTAATTAAAGATAGTTAAGCATGTATCTTTTTTTTTTTTTTTTACTTGAACACTACCTCTTGTGAAATCTACTGTAGATAAGATGATTGTCATTTCCACTTGGAAAGTGAACCTCCCATGGGTAATTGCATTCATTCGAACCTAAGCTGTCCTCCAATTTTAACTTGACTCAAACATTTTACAGTTACGACAGCCTGTTAATATGACTTGTACTATTTTGGTATTATACTAATACATAAGAGTTGTACATATTGTTACATTCCTTAAATTTGAGAAAAATTAATGTTACATACATTTTATGAAGGGGGTACTTTTGAAGTTCATTTATTTTACTATTATAGACCCTCTTTTATAGATTATCAGGGATTATATATATATAAATATATAAATATACATAAAAATGTTATGGAGTTAATTTATTAGAAACATTTAAGAAGTACATATTTTTGTGCAGTAAATTTTTGAATCAATACTTTTTTTGGAAAGTTACCTTGCTTTTTTAAGTTCTTTCTATATTTTTCTTTGGAAACGCAAACATTACGAATTAATGCCATTTTTCAAATGCACTGCCATTTAAGAATGATTCTAGATTGATTTCCTAACTGAAGTACTTTTATAATCGCAGTGATTCTGAACAAAATATTTTCAAAGGCATTTGTCATTCCTTAAAGCCAAGATTTTAAAGACCAATGTCCTTCTTGAGGGTTATTTTACTATACTGTTTATGGTGTAAAAAATCAGTCTGATAAATTTTAATGTGCAGGGGTCATGCATTCAACCCAAATTATCATGGACTGAACTCATTACATTCCCTCTGATATGTAAGATGACAGATCTTTTTTCTCTTTTAATCTTTGTCTTTACTCCATGAGTTAGATGCATTATCTCTTGTCGATCCTTTTGTATCTGCACCCATTTTATGAGTTCTGACAAAATGTTTTCTAGGTAATGTTATTGTATGAGTCAAAATCACTTAATTTTAAAGAAAAATAAAATTGTAATATTGGTTTTTAGGGAGAGGTATTGTAGCAGTTGTATGTTTTTCCAAAGTGGTTTATTCTGTTGCGTTATAAACTTCTAAGTAAATTTACATCTGAAGAGTATTTATTACTCTTAAACATGTAATTCCAAATGTTATTACTACTGTAAACAAAAATACTATCAGCCTTAGCAGTCAGTGATCTTTACAAAAGTACTTTATTTTTAAAAAGTTATGAATTATCAGCATCAGTTCCCAACCAGTCTGGTGTGCCTCAGGCAGGGTGCCAGGTGGGTTACAGATGTGCAGAGACTGATCCCCCGAACTCGCAGACTAGCCAATGGCTGAAGCCTCGGGTGGCTGGAGGTTCCACCTGGTTGCCTCTCGCCTAGAGGAGCTTCGTGTGGTTAGCCAGGATCCTGCAGCAAGAGCTTCCAGACAGCCTTGTTGTCTGTACAGTGTGGCGGGTTAAAGTTGTTGGAAAACACTGAAAGGGTAGTTACTTCCATTACTCACATCTGAATCGTCGTTAGTCACTTTTCTTGATTAAAGAGGTACACTTTGCCAATAATCTTTATGTCAAAGTCTAGTTAAAAATCTTGATTGGGTTTTTAAAATTTACTCTTCGTTTTCTTTAATTTACTTTTTATTTTGTATTTCCCTGGCCAGATCCTTGCAGGCAGATTTCATTTTACAAACTAACCTTTTGTTACAAAATTTTGGCAGCTGCTTCACATACTAAATGACTGTTGTGACAACTAAGTGTCCGGGGGGAAATTCTGGAGGTGGGTTGAGACGTCCTCGTGTTTCCCTGCTTCCACAGTAGCCCACTCTGATTTTAGAGAGAAAGCCGTGCTCTGAAAATCTAAGGAGGTGACAGTTATCACAGCTTGTCACCATTTGGTAGGGCGTCTGTCTTTAGACTGACGAGCCTTCCTAGCCAGCATTTCCCTGTTTCATGCTCAGTCTCCTCTCCCAGGCTTAGCTCATCGCCTCCCCCCACCCCCCGCCGCCCCCATTCCCAAGAATAGTTTGAACCAAATCTTACCCACCGTTCAGAAACTGTCTTGTGTGTTCCTCCCCATGAATTGTTTCCAGTGCCTAGTAGCGCCTGGGACAGTGCCTGGCACGTGGGAGGTGCCCAGTCCGGGTCACCCACACTCCTCTTTCTTTTTAACTCCCTTTACCCACGTTCCTTGCCACCCTCTTACACACTCAGCTGTCGAGTTTCTGATTGTTCACAGGGCATGTGTTTGTGTGTGTACGTGTGTGCGCACACATTCTCCAACTGACCAGGCTTCAAGCTCCTGGGGACAAGTCTGTGACTCATCCTTTGCGTCTGTCCTCTGATGCAGCAGGTGCTCGGATCGTCTCATTGTTAGTCTCTCCCTTCCCCCATTTCCTCCCTAGAAGGTTAGAAACAGCCATGCTTTCCTCAAGCAAGACATCATAGTGGTAGCCCTGAAGAGTAGTTGGGACAGAGCCTTCGAGGAGGTGAAGAGTACCTGAGACTGAGGGAAGGAGGTGCTTAGCCTTGAGAGGACACGGAGACACTTTTATGAGAACAGTGAGTGGGGAATGCGTCCAGTGGTGGGACTAATTATTAACATAGAGAAATCAAACATGGTTTGCATCTGGTGTGTAAACATAAACACATCAACTGTTAAGACTCTAGAGCTGCGCTGTCTGGTATACAGTCGTATACAGGCACATGGTAGCTATTTAAATTTAAATTAATAAAACCTCAGCTCCTCAGTCACACTAGCTACAGTTCAATGCTTGTTAGACACACGTGGCTAGTGGCCCCTGCAATGGACAGCACAGACCTAGAGCCTTCCCTCATTGCAGAAAGTTCTGTTGGGTAGCGCCATGTCAGGAGTGCTATTATGAATGCTTCAGAAACCAGAGTAAACCATGTCTGCTAAAAGCAGACATGCAGAATATATCACAGTGCAGATGATGGGTATGGTAGGTGAGAAGGTCGAGGACTGTTCCTAGGATTCTAAGATCTAAGATTTCGCAGTTCTCGAAGTCTCCCGCGTTCTGTACGGCACACACAGTGCTGCACTGTGTAGTCAAAAAACGGTGGTTTCAGGCAGTGGGATTGAAAAGCTTTGGAAAAAGTGAATGCATATGGATTATTTAGCAGCCAGTCTGTAGACACGTACGTGTATATTAATTCAACCACCGGAGAGGTCTTCAAAAAAGGTATGGCTTCTCAGATTAGTAGTTGTACCAGCAAGGGATTAGAAGATGTCATTATTTTTAAAAAGCTTCAGCAGCATTCTGAAGGCTTCTTTTAAATCTGTCATCGTAATGAAAAGGTTGTCTCCTAACAGTACTGTCCTCAAAGACAAGTTTGGTTATGTGGAAACAGCATGTTGGGAGCGATTGGTAATAGCCGTGTGTATGTGTAGTAGCCGGAAGTCTGCATGTGACCCTCAGGTACCTATAGGAGATTCTCCCCCTTTGTGTGTGGGTGGAACCCATTAATACCATCCATAACTATGTTATACAGCAAAAGGGAGATTATCTGGGGACAGCTTACCTAATCATGTGAGCCCCTTAAAAGCAGTGTTTTCTCAGGCTGGTAGCAGAAGTCAGAGATTGACAGCAAGAGAACTCAAGGCACACGAGAAGAAATGCAGATGCCTGGAAGGAGCTGACAGAGGCCTCAGCCAACAGCCCAGGGAGTGGGTACTCCCGCTCTACAGCCACAGGAACTCAGTTAATCAACAACCTGAATGAGCCTGCAACTACAATCCCCTCCAGCAGAGGAGAACCCGGCCCACCACCACCTTGATTCCAGCCTTGTGAGACCCACTGCTGAGAACGCCAATCAAGCCCACCCTGACTTCTGGCCTGCAGACTGTGAGATAATAAATAGGTATGGTCTTCAGCTTCTGAATTCGTGATTTGTTACACAGTAGAAAATGAATATAATATTGAAAAGAGATGACAAGTCTTCATACGTGATTGCCTGTAGTTAAGTTGGATATTTCTCAATAACCACAGGGGTCAAGTCTTACACTAGCAAACTTTTACCTGGGCATCCTTTGGAGTTTCTCTCCCAGAGAATCTCAAGTAGTCCTGACTGGAAGTTTGTCGCCAAAAACATGTTAGCAGTGTATCTTAGCAGTGTTTTGTAAAGAAACTGCTAGAATGGTATTGTGCTCATACTAGAACCAGGATCCAGTGTATATAGAATCTTTTTCCTGGAAGAGGTGTTATTTTGTGCTGGTTTAGTCTGCTCTGATCCTGTCAGTATACTATTTAAGAATGATGAACAGTAGTATTTTAAGTATTAGGAGAGAGAAAAAACTTCTGCCTTTATGTAAGAGATCAGATAATCTACTCCGTACTGAAGAACTTAAATTTTTTTTAAACCCACTTGTTTATTGTCTGAGCACAGATCAAATTCTGTAGGTGTCAACCAAATTTTATACTTTGCAAATATTCTCCAAAATACCTCTCTGCTTCCAAGCCATTAATTGCTGGTGAAGCTTGTTTTCATTTTGTACATTAATTTTTGTGCTTATTTTTACTATATTGCCATACCCTTAATAGAAGAAAAGCAGAGCTAAAGGGAAGAAAATGAGATGCTGAGACTGTCAGAAGATGAGAAATTGGAGTCATAATCATCTTAAGTGTTCTAAGGGAACTCAAATAGCCCAGCTCTTTCTTTTATAGAAAAAGAAACTTTTCCAAGCTATGTAGCATTACTTACAGTGTGTGAAATTTAGTTTGATAGCTGTACAATTTTAATAATCTTGATATATGCCATGATAACTAGTATGCTTAGTTTACTTCTTTAATGCATGTGAACATAACAATGCTGAAAAGACTACTACCACAGTATTAAAAAAAAAAAAAAAAAGGATGTTATATATATCCCTGTCATCAGTACCTATATATAAACTCTTCTTGCCTAAAACACTCCACCTTTTTGGGCACTAACTAGATCATTTTTAAGGAAAC